AGTGAATGGGTGCCGTCAGAACGAGAGCTGATAAAAACATCAGCACAAGTAATCCACAGCACTCCAGTCCATCAGATAACATCTGGAGAAGACAAAAACTGAAACTAATCCAACATTAAGACGTTTGTAACTAAAATACATTGAGTCCATAATCCATAATAACTCTTCCTCCAGTGAGTCAGTGTTCTGGTGTGAATCAGGAGAGAAATCTGCACAGATCAAGCAGCGTTTAAACAGCTCTAAACACATATGTGGCTGGATTTTGATGCGAGAGACAACAGCAGATGCACTTTTTCTCTGGAGGAAGAGTTATTATGGATTATGGACTCTTATGTGTTTTAGTTAAAAGCATCTTAATGCTGGATGTGTTTCAGCTTTTGTCTTCTCCAGATGTTAACTGATGGACTGGAGTGCTGTGGATTACTTGTGATGTTTCTATCAGCTCTCGTTCTGACGGCACCCATTCACTTGCAGTGAGACACTGATGCAGTGCTACATTCCTCCAGATCTGATGCAGAAACACTCTCAGGTCTCAAGTGTGGCGAGAGAAGCTCTGATAATATACACTATATGAATAATAACAATATCATAATAATGCAGGAGGAGTATCACATGAAAGATATGAATATAAACGTGGATAGAACAGTATCTGGTTTAGTGCTTGACTTGATTAAAGACAGATTGTGCGTTGTGTGAATGCTGCTGTCTCACCACTTCTCTGGCTCTGCCGCTGAAGCTGTCTCTGGCTCTGGCTCTCTTCGCTGCGCCGGGCTCCTCTCTGCTGGAGGACTCGAGCAGTCCCAGCGCTTTATTCCGCGTTTTCACCGTTTTCACGCTCGCTTTGAACAACAGTGTGATATCGGCAGCCATGACTGACACGTCGCCGCTCTGACGTCACCCGCCGGCGACACGCGCGCAGAGAGCGGAAGCACGTGTTCCCATGGCGACTGCACACAGCGCTGTGTCTGCAGCAGGGGAGTAGTGTTCGAGGATGCTGTGGCGTGCCTGGCTTACATGCATGTCTACATGTGTCATGCCATAGCATCATTAATAGCATCTAACAATGCCCAAAAGTGTGTTTCGTTTTTCTCTCTAACCCATGGTTCTGTAACCATAAAGGCTCCTGACTAAACATTTAAATAATCCTGTGAATGCACTTAAAGAATCGTTAATCGAATCGAATCGTTCTGAATTTGCAAAAATTGTTCTTGAATCGAATCGCTGTCTACCCAAAGATTCAGGCCCTAGTTCCTCAGTGTTTCTGTCGTGTTTATACAAATATCTAAACATCCTTACATCAAGATGCATTTACTGCTGATGCAAAAATGGAAGAAAATTAAGTGAGTTTATGCTTAAAACAAGAACAAATATCTGTTAATGGGCAATTAAAACTTGTTTGCCCTTTGGTGTTTTTTTCTGACCCCATTGGCTGATATTAGTTCTGGCTTTAATCATAAACTCACTCAATTTTGTAGAATTTTTATTCTTATTTTCATGTCATTTTACTTCTTAATGAAATGCTTCTTGATTTAGGAATCTTCGAGATCTCTTAGACATTAGCACTGGAAAACAAGACAGAAATACTGCAGTGTTACAGAGTTATCTGCACAGTGTGTGAGCAGAGATAGTGTGTGTGTAAACTGCTCTTTCACAGTAATGTAGTAGTCATACTCAGTGTGTGCAGCTGAAGCACTTTACATCAAAGCCTAAATATGTTACTACTGGGGTTCCCCAGGGCTCACTTTTGGGTCCTCTCTTATTTATTATTTATCTTTTACCTCTTGGTAATATTTTTAAGGAGTTTGGTATTCAGTTTCACTGCTGTGTTGATGACACCCAACTTTACCTGTCCTCCAAAACCCACCTTTACTTTTCCTTCGTCTATCCTCTCAGATAGTGTAGCTGGGATTAAACAGTGGTTCACATCAAGTGTGTGTGTGTGTGTGTGAGAGAGAGAGAGAGAGAGAGAGAGAGAGAGAGAGAGAGAAAGAAAGAGTGTGTGTGTGTGTGAGAGAGAGAGAGAGAGAGAGTGTGTGTGTGTGAAAAGAGGAAAAAGTCAGTTATTAAGATATAATGAAGATAATGAGCAACAATAAGGCTGAAAATGAAAGCTGAAAGGCATAAAGAACTGGATGTTGGGTTGTGTTTGTCAGCTGATGATGGGGATCTGTAATTATCAAAAGTTGTACTGTCACACTGAAGCAGCAGAGAATGGAAATGTGATGAGTTGATTAGAACTGAGACTCTGAAGATCGAGTTCCCGAACAAACTCACACTCTTCTGTTCATTTAGAGCGCTCAGAATGAACCTCATCTGCTCCGTGTGTTCTCGGCTGGAATCCTGCAGTGAAACCGGATCCGAGCTCTAATGAAGGCCTACAGAAGATGCCTTTACTCGCTGCGTGGGTTCCTCCGGCATTCCTGTGTAATGCGGCTCTGAACGACGCCTTTCATCTTCTCTCTGACGTACAAGTGCTGAAAACTCCTTTCAACACAAAATATAATGTTTTCAACGTTTATTTGTAATATTCTAACAACGTTCAAATGTCAGTTTTCTTGTTGCGATTAGAACGTTATTTAAAAGTTACAGAAACATTTCTTAGATTGTTCAAGAGCGAATATCATCATGAGGACGTTCTGCGATATTCTCTCAAGGTTATGAGAACGTATATTAATATTAATATAATTATTTCGGTGAGCATTAGCCTAGTTTAAGAACATTTTGTCCTAACATTTATATAACTTTTAAATATGAGTGTAAGTTGTGAGAACATTCTCTGTTAGCTGAGACCTGAGATGATGCTTCAATAAATTCATGCATAGACACAGTTTATGTTATTAAACACATTGTGGAGCCCAGTAGCATTTAACACAGCTCAATGGCACTCAGCTAACGCTAAACACACTAAACAGACAGAGATCTGCAGTCAGATGTGATCTTGTGTTTGTGAGTTTGTCTAGATGTTAAACTGGAGAATCTGTTCACACACACACACACACACACACACTCTCTCTCTCTCTCTCTAACACACACACACACACACACACACACACTCGTCTGCGGCCTCCTGATTGCTCATATTCAAGATTCAAGATTCAAGATATTTGTCACATACATAGTTATATAGGGAATATATGACCAGCAGTGAAGTGTAAGTCAGGTCCGCTCCATGGACAGTGCAATTATTAAAGAATACAAACAAAAGAAACTTATATATAAATATAGGTATGGAAAAAGTAAGATAAAAAAATAAGAATAAAATAAAATGCACAGGACAGTATACTGTAGGCTTAATAAATATTTAATCATATAATCAAAGCTGGTCTTGGCGTCTGTGTTTTGAGAAGAGTAACTTCACTGAAGAATGAGGCTGAAAGCGGAGCTGATGTATGCCCGCCGCTCATGTCCCTTCAGCTTATTGAATTACCTAAACGAGCTCTGACGAGCGTGTTTGAACTTCACAGCCTCCGCGGCACTTTCATCTCTGACAATCAACGGAAAAACAAACAAACAAGGTAAAATACGACATGCTGCTGGCCAGAGAAACCCACGATTCCCTGCAGCTCATAAACGTCAGCGCTGCATAAATCAAACTTTATCAAAACCACACAGGGATGTGGTAACTATGGTTACAGCTGCCCTCAGCAACCAGCTCCCTTAGCAACATGTATGATGTATCAGATCTGACACGCCCCCTTCGAAACCAAACAATCACATGATCATAATTCATCCAGTGTTGCCAATTTAGCCATTTTGTTGCTAAATTTAGCTACTTTTCAGACTACCCTAGCAACTGTTTCTTCCAAAAGCACCTAGCAACAAATTTAGCTATTTTTACATTTTATTTGGCTACTTTTAGCAACTTTTGATAAGTGACTCAAACAATAAAAAGGCTCACATTTTCCATCTAAATTTCCCAAAAAGAGGAAACCAAAGATGCCTAGCAGTACTCACATCACGTGAATTAAATCATTGCTTCCGGTATTTGCAATTGTTCAATTTGATAATAATTTAATAATTGTTCATTTATGATACACCTTGTTGTACCTGTGATTGTTGATCAGTTAGTACACTGTAAGAAAAATATCTAGAAAAATGGAAGAGGTCTTCTAGTAATTTTCCAGGACATTATCCGTTATCCATTATCCACTGTAAACCCTTTAACCCGAAACACAAAATACAGTGCGTAATTTAAAATGCCGATAAAAACCTGTGAATTCTTTTCTTA